CCACACCTGGAGTCCTGTTGCTGTTTGCAGCTCCTGTCTAGGAGCACACAGAAAATGTGTTTGCTCCTTCCTGCAGAAAGCCCAGCCCCAGAGATTTCATTTAGGCTGGGGGGTGTGAGAAATGCTGCCAGGAATCCCATGGGAACACATCCCCTTCACTCGCGGGCAGCTGAGCCAGCACCGGAGCGAAGGGATGTGGAGACCCACCTGAGGGCTGAGCTGCTGAAAATCCAACTCCCCCTGCAATCATGGGAGAAAACACCTGGCTTAGGAAGGCATCTTCCAACTGAAGCGTGTCAGATGCTCGTGGGAGGGCAGAGGATCTGCGGTTTCTGCAGACACGTGGGAAGAGATGGTGGGAACAGGGTCTCGTTAGTGGGGGAAGGAAGTCAGAGGGGCAGTTTTGGGTGCTCTAATGGGAGGAGCAAACTTTGGGGGGCTTGTTGAACTGATTGAGGATGATTTTCTGTGCCATTTTGATGTGAAGCTCATGTTCCTCCCGTGGGGATGGCTGATAGCCCTCATGTTTCAGCTCTGCAGCCCACCCAGCAGGAACCAGGGATACAGGATTTCCTCCAGCCTGGAAAAACGATGAGGGAAGGGTTACCCTTACCTTGCCAGTGCATCGGGTCCTCTGTGCCATCTATTCTTTCCAGGCAAAAGGCTCACAAAGGAGAACATGGAACTTGGATCTTCCATCTGATTCTGACTCCCGCATCTGCACACACGGGGGGAGGAGGGCTTGAAACCACGGTGTTCCATGGATAATTCCATGCTGTTATACACTCAGTATGTCTCATCCTTCTGCCTTGCATGGCACAAACATTCATTTTTGTGTTCTGCATCTCCCTAATGTGATATAAAGAGCTAAATGCATTACCAACTGCAGTACAGCACATGATTATTTTTCCCCCCCTTGCTTATTCTGCAGCGAGCAATTTTTTGTGCCATTAATAAGTCTTGCTCTGCTCCAAATGATCCTTCTTGCTCTGTTCTGCTCCAAATGATCTTCATCCTGGGAGGATTTCCTGGGGAGGCTGGAGCCAGTTGCGTGCTCTTCACAAGAGCTACTTCTCAGTGCTTCTCACTGAGAATGTACTAAAGGAAAAGCTTCAAGTTAATCCAGTTTAGACGTGGATTTGACTTCCAGCACTCGGGAATCAGTGGGGTTTAAATGACAGCACTCACTGCAATAGTGCTCAGCCCTGGATATCTCCATCCCTTCAGTGGGGAGGAACAGATGGGTTTCAGCTCCCAGTTTTAGAGGCTCCAAAAAGGACCAAAATGAGGAGGAACATCCAGTGTCACAAGAAAATAGGGCTTATTTTCAGAGAGAAATCAGGCTGAGGCACTCCCCAGATATTGCCCCTTCCTGCTCCTTGGTCTTGGTGAGGCTGCTTTGACACAGCAGTTTCAGCCTCATCCCCACCCTTGGGGGCTGAATTACTTTCCAGCTGCCCCATATAAACCTGAAGGGCACCGTGGCCCCAGAAGGAGTTACCAGAGGCACCGTGGGGCAAAACCCCATAGGGGCCCTCCGTGATCCTTGTGGGTCCTTTCCAACTCAGTGTTCTGTGATTCTGAAAAGGCAAAAAGAATGGCCAAATGTGCCCTAGGGAGGAGTCAGGGGTGTTCATGTTTCAGTAGGTGGCACTCCTTCCTCTACCTCGGGGCTGGCGTGGATTTTGTGGACAGGGAATAGCAGGTGGCATCCCACGGATGAGACACTCGGGGATGGATACAACTGGAGTTGTTTACAGCGTGCTTTCTGCAAGAGTTCAGCTCCTGTACGTGCTGCTTTCCTCTACATCCCCCTGTGTTTTAGTCTTTCTCAGTGTAAAGGTGTTGCTGGGAATGTGTATGCAGGGAAGGCACTGGGTACCGAGCGGGGAAATCCATCGCAAAATCCAGGTGGTTCAACTCCCTGCCACGGGCTGATCTGCTCCTGCGGATATTTCGGGAAGAGAATGGAGTGGATTAGGCAGGGGAGAGAAAAAAAATGCTTCCAGGAGGAGGAAAGTGTTTCTGTATGTGGTCAGTGGTGCATCTCCAGCCTCTCCATCCACGCTGTCCTGGCTGGCCGCAGCAAGGTGACATTTGCTTGTCAGTGATCCCGCTGCCTACCTGAGCTTGTCCTTGGGAATCCAGGGAGGTGTCTGTGGAATAGAGGGTGTTCAAATGTGGTTTTAGCTCGGAAGACAGCAGCTGAGTGGGTGAGTTTGGTGACAGATGATCCCTGGAAGGTTTAGAAGCAAAAGCTATTAAAACCTCGGAGCTGTGCAGAGAGGAAATGTTGTGAGTTCATCAGAGCCCCCTTGGAGAGGAGGAACATCCCTGTTCCATGTGATTCCCACCATCCAGCCCCGGAGTGCTGCGTTTTGGGGCAGAGAGGATGCTGTCTGCAGATGCTCTTTTTTTTTTCTGTGCTTCCTGCTTACTTGACATCCGGGCACAGAGGAGGGATCACAAAAAGCCTTTGGGATGTCCGTGGCCAAAGGCTTCCTTAACAAACAGAGCAGCTTCACCCCGTCCTCCCGAATCCAAGCCAGTTGGTGCATTCCTGCCATTCTTCTCCCTAAAGCTGTTTCTTTCCATTCCCTGGCTCAAGAAGACAAAGCAGCTGCTCTGAGAGTCTGAGATTTTTATTTATTTTTTTTTTTTTTATTAGGAGCTTTAAGTTGAAAGGAATGGGATCATGGGATTTATTTTTTATTGGAGTGGGGCAGTACCCTGGGATCCCTGAGATTACACACCAGCCGGTGCCAGGATCTGCACTCGCCCCATGGTTTCTTTGGGAGAGCAGGGAATAGCCAAAAATAGGCAACTGCCAGCTGCCTTCCCGTGGTAGAACTCGGCTGTCGGGTTACGAAGCCCTTTGGGCTGCTCTGGCCTCGTCCTTAAATCAGGAAAGACCAGCCTTAGACTCGATAGCTGCTGGTTACGTTCCCAAACCTAAAACTGAGCCATAAAAATCTCTCTTCAGGCCTCAAGGATCTTACGAAAATCTGCTTCCCACCTGTAAATAAATGTATTCTTTATATATACTCGGCTAAATTCCTTGACAGCTTTACTGCCCATAATTTCTCACGGTTTTCTCTGGATCCTCTCTGATCGTGGTGCTGTTGTCTCAGTCCCAGGCTGGGCACCTCTAATAGAAACCAAGTAGTGTGACTTTACTGCCTGTCACCGAGAAATTATGCACCAGTTTCCCCCCAGGGCTGGGATTCCTTTGAAGCCTGGTGGGCTTCAGTTGACTGTATCTCTGTCTCCCTCATCCAGACATCGGTATCACTTCTGCAGGGAGGAAAACAATAAAACTTAAAGCACGTTGGCTGAATGCTATTAAAATATTTTATTTATCACTGATTCCTAGTTTGTAGGCAGCAGGAATGCATCTGTTTAATGCTGGTTTTCTTTAAAATGGAAATGTTCAGAGGATATTTGGTACTTTTGCTCCTGGCGAGTTGTGTGAGGCTGGAATGGAGGGAACAGGCAGTAACAAATTCTGTCTGAACTTAAATCTGTGAAAACAACTGGGGGACTTTGCTTTGTGCCTGGCACACGTGTATTGAGGGGACTGAAAACTGAGGCTTTTTGCATAACTCATTTCCCCCCCCCCCCCCATTTTCACGTGCATCTGGAAAAATGCAGGAGGGGTCAAGTACATGAAGATCCTACAAAGCCTCGTGTCTGTGAACAGAGGCCAGGCCCTTTCCAAGATCAGCATGGAGCAGGAAGCAGTTGTAACTCCTATTTTTTTTTTTTTAATTTATTTTATAAAGACCATCTGCAGGTTGAAAGCTGGAGCTTTGGACTCAGGCAAGCGCCAGTACGTAACAGTAAAAAAAAAAAAAATAAACGGGAAACCCTAAAAGAGCTCAATCCCATAAACAGGGTCTGGATGTCTGGCATTCCCAGCTAGTGCCCGCAGGGGAGGTCTAGGTGCAAACATGTAGCTACCACCCACCCCCCCAAAAAACGTATCTCTGGCTGCATCCTCCTTCTCCCCAAATCCAGCTCCCCAAGAGGGAATAGAAGCAGCTGTTTGTGCTGCCCTGAAAACATGTGAGCACGAAGCTGTGCGGATGCTCTTGCGGGGTGTCAGTGCCCAGCTGGGCTGTGGGAGCTTTTATCGCCGAGTCCTCCAGACTGGACGATCTTATCGGGAAGCCCCAAGCCAGCCCGCACACCCCTCTTTCTTTCCCTGGGGGGCCAGTCCTGGGAGTCGCGCTGTCACGACGTGCATCGCTTGGCAAAGGCGGGCACGAGGGAAGGAACCAGAACCATTTGGCACCGAGGGCTCAGCCGATGCGGCTCATCTAAATCTGTTATTTTTGTGCTGCAGCCCCGCGGACTGTATCGCATAGGTAGAGCCGGCGTGTAGCGGCACACAGGGAATCCGAGTGCACGAGGGAAAATCCCGCACTCCGGGAAAATCCGATGGCGTTTGGTACGGCAGAAACTGGCGTGTGCTTTCACGTGGGTATTTGGGCTACACGGAAAATTCCCAGATTTTAAGTTACGGGGTTTTTTTTTTTTAGTGCTCAGAAACCCATCTGCCCTGCCTCCAGGCTTTTCCAGTGCAGACATACTTGACCGATATTCACATGGAAATCTGGGTTTTTGGAGCCCGAAGCTTGCTGAGACTGAGGAGGAGCCATGCCAGCCGCCGGCTTGTGCTTCCACTCCGAGCAGGCGACAAAAATGGGCTATTTAAAAACAAAGTAAAGGGGAGACAAGCCGGGCGAGTTCCTCAGGGAAAAGTGGCACCTTGAGCGGAGCAGAGGATGGAGGGAGGGCACCGGGGACACGCCGGCAGCGGGACGGGAGGGCAGGACCGCGCAGCTCGGACCTGACGGCCTCCTCCCGCGGGAGGACGGGCGGGGAGGCGCGGGGAGCCGCTCCCGGCCGGTCCCCTCCCTCCATCCCTCCTCCCCTCCTCCCCACCCGCAGCCCCCGCCGGGCCACCCCGCGGGGCGTGGGCGGCGCGGGGAGCGGCGGGGCCGGGCGGGAGCGAGCGGGGAGAGCATGTGCATCCTCCCCGCCGCCCCTGCCTCCCTCCCGCCGCCCTCCCTCCCGCCTCCCCTCCCTCCCTCCTTCCCGCCGCGGGTGTGTGTGTGTGTGTGTCTCGGCTCCCTCGCCAGCCCAGCCTGACGCAGGCGGATCGCGATCGCCCCTGACAACAGCCCGGCTCCCAGCGCCGTGCCGGGGGTCCGGCTGCGGCGGGGCCCCGCCGGGCCGGGCCGAGGGGGCGGCGGGGGCCGAGTTGGCCCGAGCGCGGCAGGGCGGCCCGGGGGGGGGAAAGTTGCCGGGAGCGGCGAGGGGCGAGCGCGGCGGCAGGACCATGGGCACTTTGCGGGATTTACAGTACGCGCTGCAGGAGAAGATCGAGGAGCTGCGGCAGCGGGATGCGCTCATCGACGAGCTGGAGCTGGAGTTGGACCAGAAGGACGAACTGATCCAGAAGCTGCAGAACGAGCTGGACAAGTACCGCTCGGTGATCCGGCCCGCCACGCAGCAGGCGCAGCAGCAGAGCGCCGGCACCTTGCAGGGCGAGCAGCGGACCAAGCGCCAGGCGATCTCGGCCGAGCCCACCGCCTTCGACATCCAGGATCTGAGCCACGTCACCCTCCCCTTCTACCCCAAGAGCCCGCAGTAAGCAGGGGGTCACCCCGCGGTCACCCTCAGCCCCCCGCCACCCCTCTCCCCTGTCTGCCGCCTCTCTTCCTCCGTTCCCCTCCATCCCCTGCCATCTCCCCGGCCGCGCCGCCGCTCTCCGGGCAGGGACCGGGGCGGGGGGGTGCGGAGCGGCCACATCCCGCATCCTCCCCGGGTGGTCCCGCGGGGTGGGAAAGTTGCGAGCGCCAGGTTTGCGGGGAGATGTGCGGCAGGAGCGAGCGCCGAGGTGCGAGGGGAGGGGGACCCTCGTCCCCCGTCTCGGCTCCGGGGGACCCGGCCGCCCCCATCCCGCCGGCGAAGCGGGACACGGCGGCGGGCGCTGGGAGTTGCTGCTGCCGGCGGGTTGGATCGGAGCGGATCGCGGGCTCGGGGGGCTTTACCGGTACGAGAGGGGGCGGGACAAACCCGGGGGGTCGCTCCGGGGTCCCGCAGGGGCACAGTCCCAGCAGGGAAACTGAGAGCCCGTCGGGATGCGGTGCCGGCTCTCCGGTAGCCTCTCCTGCCCAGGGGGTGCTGGTGTTTTGGGGAGGGGGGTTTAGCAGTGGCTCGTTGAGGTGTCCTGCTCCGGTGGAGGGTGTGCGGAGGGGGGGGGGGCAGGGCAGGGAAAGTTGCAGGGATCCTCCGTTCCCGTCGTGCCGGGGGATGCGCTGCCCTGGTTTCACACCTGCCCCGGTTTCACACCTGCCGCAGATTAGGCAAATTAGAGCGATTTAATAGAGAAACGGAGCCCTCGCGGGAGCGGCATCGCTCCCTGCGTGTAGCGCCTTTTGCTGGCCAATAAGTCGCCCTGCCTTCGGTTCAGCGCTCCTCAAGGGATGAGAAAAGAGGACAGAGGTGACGAGCGGGTGCTCGCAGCGCCGGGCTCCACGTGCGGGCACGGCACGACTTCCCCGTCGGTGGGTAAACCCCCCTCCCCTCTGCGGCCGGCGTCTTCCTCGTGGAATTGTTAACCGGGAACGCTGGAGGATCCCTGGAGCCATCCCGGCAGTCGGGTGCGTGTGTGCTGGGTGTGCTCGGGGACGGGGTGCGGGCACACGGCAGCGCTCGGGGCACGGCTCGGCCGCACCCTCCGGACCCCGCACGGGGACGGGACCGTGTCCGATGCTCCCGCTGCCCTGGCTGGGGATGGCGGGGCAGGGACGGTGTCCCGGTGCTGCCCTGAGCGGGAATGGAGGGGCAGGGACGGTGTCCCGGGCAGAGATGGCGGGGCAGGGACGGTGTCCCGGTGTTGCCCCAGTGGGAGATGGCGGCGCAGGGACGGTATCCCGGTGGGGTATGGCGGTGCAGGGACGGTGTCCCGGTGTTGCCCCGCTGGGGGATGGCGGTGCAAGGACGGTGTCCCGGTGTTGCCCCGCTGGGGGATGGCGGTGCAGGGACGGTGTCCCGGTGTTGCCCCGCTGGGGGATGGCGGGGCAGGGACGGTGTCCCGGGCGGGTGCCCGCCCGCTCGCCCCTCTGCCCGGCCCTGCCCGCCGCCATGGCGGGGCCCCGCCGTCTCCTGGCAACTGCCCGCCCTCAGGGCGGCCGCCATGGCCGGACCCGGGGCCGGGCTGTGTGTGCCGGGGCGGCGGCTGCCGCTCTGTCCCCCTCCCCTTCCCATTCCCCCTTGTCGTTCTCGCTTCCCCCCACTCCCGCTCTCCCCCCAGTTCCTATTCCCACCCTCCCCGTTCCCATTCCCGCTGCCGTTTCTCCACAGATATTTTGCCCTTTTAAGGCGACTCGCCGCGGATTCAAAAGGATGTCGGGGGGAAGCGGCAGTGGGCTGAACAACAGCCCCTCCGCCAGACCCCAAAACCCAAATAAACCGCCCCAAAAGTGGACGCCGGGTTCTGACGGGCGAGGGGGGCACAGGGGTGCCCGAGGCCAGGCGGGCGGGAGGTCTTTGCAATCCGTGGTGTGCCTGGAAAACATCCAGGGCATCCCACCGGCGTTACCTTCCTCTGGGACAGTGTGTCGCGTCCAAAAACATTTATTTCTCTGTCAGCGTTTGCCCCTTGGTGCCCTCGGAGTGGGAATGCAGCTCCCCAGAGCTCCGGAAAGAGCCACAGGTTTCAGGAGAACGATCTCGGAGCCTCTGCTTGTGTACAGTGAAACATGTAGGGATCCCGACAAAGGCTCGGATTTGTGTTTTCCAACTTGAAATTGTAATTGCTCCTTGTGTAAAGGCCGTACTGCAGTCTGGTGTGGAGTGTAACAGCCCTCACCTGAGGGAGTGCTTCATATTGACCTTCCCTGGTCAATGCTCTTAATAGTATTTATGGTATTTAAGTCAACTCGCAGCTGCAGATTGTAATCACTCAGGTGTGGGCATTTAAGGCTGGGTTGGACATCGTAATCACTCAGGTGTGGGCATTTAAGGCTGGGTTGGACATCGTAATCACTCAGGTGTGGGCATTTAAGGCTGGATTGGGCATTTAAGGCTGGGTTGGACATCGTAATCACTCAGGTGTGGGCATTTAGGCTGGATTGGACATCGTAATCACTCAGGTGTGGGCATTTAAGGCTGGGTTGGAAGGGGCTGGGAGCATCCTGGTCTAGAGGAAGGTGTCCCTGCACACGGCAGGGGAGTGGAACAAGATGGTCTTTAAGGTCCCTTCCAACCCAAACCATCCTGTGATTCCACAAAAAGGTATTTGTTACTGGCTTCAGGAGCGTGTGTGGTTCTGGGAAGGGTTCACGGTGTATGGTGACACCTCAAAGCCTGGCGTTCAACACAACTCTTTGTGGTGGTACCAGGGTTAAGGTGGACAGGAGCTGGAAGCAGAACAATCAAAACATGCAAAGAAGGCTTGGCTTTTTTCCCCCCCGTTCATGCTGAACCTCAGTGATTCTTGAGGTGATGACACCCAACCTTTGCTTTTATCGTGCTACCAGAAAGTGTTCAAAAGGAAGGTGGATGTGGCACTTGGGGACGTGATTTAGTGGTGGGCTTGGCAGTGCTGAGTTAATGGCTTGATGATCTTAAAGGGCTTTTCCAACCAAAATGATTCTATAGTAGCCTGTGGGGTGTTTTTGCAGTTAGGTGGTGACCAACTCCAGTACCTGAAGGGAGCCTGCAAGAAAGATGGAGAGAGACTGTTTAAAATGGCCTGGAGTGCCAGGACAAGGGGGAATTGCTTCCCACTGCCAGAGGGCAGGGTTAGAGGGGATATTGTGAAGAAATTCCTGTGAGAGTGGGGAGGCCCTGGCCCAGGTTGCCCAGAGAAGCTGTGGCTGTCCCTGGATCCCTGGAAGTGTCCAAGGCCAGGTTAAATGGGGCTTGGAGCAACCTGGGCTGGTGGAAGGTGTCCCTGCCCATGGCACAAGTGAAACAAGATGTTCCTTAAGGTCCCTTCCAACCCAAACCATTCTATGATTCAATGAGTGGCATTCAAGGTGTGAAAGTAAATTTAATTGCTTCGTGTGGAAAAATACCATTAAATGTCCTGCATGATCTCACCTTGCACATAAACCCCTCCACTTAAGACACATATAGACTTTAAAAAGTGACTGTTTCAGACCTATGAGAGCTTTAGTTGCTGTTGCAGGGTTGGGCTTGTGTTGCCTCTAAAACTTACTTAAAAGTGAAATGGGACTTTGTGAGTTCACAAAAGGAGTTTATAGCTAAAATCCATGGGGGGACATATCCTGCCATTATCTTCCAAGTTACAAGGCTGGTGAGAGAAGTCAGGCATTGGCATCTTGATCAGTCTTCCTGTTCAAGTAACTAGAATTTTTTTAAAATAAGTGGCTTTTTCTCTTCCCCCCCCAAAAAGGAAATAACTTGCAAGAAGCGACTGAGTAAGTGGGCACAGACTGTGTGTGGTTTCCTGTGGTAGAAAAATGCCCTGACAAACCCTTATCTCCTCTTCATCTTCTAAAATTGCTGCTCTTGTTTGTTTTTCCACACCTTTGACCTCTCACAGGGTATATCCTGGCTGCTAACAGCCTGTCAGCACGGGAAGAATCCTGTGAGTTTGTACCAACTGCTATTCCAATTAAAATTTTACAGAGCAGCCAACCAAAGTAAAGCCCTTTTAACTACCAAGCTGCAGCTCATCCCTTTGGTTACGTGGCCCTTGCCATGGGAAAATACCCAGGACGTTGATTTTTAACAGGCTGTTTTGTTCGGGGATTGGTGACAGCTGTTGGCTTTTTTGGAAGGCTGTGTAATCAGTGCATTTGCTTCTCCAGAAAGGAAAAAAAAAAAAGAATTTAGAAGCAGAACGTAGAGCAAAGTGGAGAGATGGTGAGCGTGAAGGGCCTGATCTCTTGGCCGAGGCGGTGGGGCAGAGAAAATGCAAAATGCCGTGTCTTCTGTAGGAAATGGTGAATAAGATGGAAACTCACTTGTTTTGGGGAGTTAAAATGTGAAGCTGGCGAATCTGCCAAAGTCCCTGGGATTGGTTTGTGAGGGGAGGAGCAGCTCATGAGTTGTATTTAAGAGGTCTGGTTTGAGCAGTGTAAAATACTTGGTTGCATAGCCTTAGGGAAAGTACAACAGGCATACAAGGGATTTAACAAAATCCCTGTAATGGCCAAATTGGTTCTTTGAAGGCGAATGTGCACATCTTCTGTGGGCCAGAGGCATATTTTTAAGTGATCGTAATAGTCATAAACCCTACAGAAATGCTTGAAAACCACTTTATATTTAGAGTAATTGCATAAAATGATCTGCTGGTATTTATTAATGGTATGTATTAGCTAAGGTAATAATTAAGACTCTCAAACTATAGTTCTGAAGAAACCCCCCAAAACAACCAAACCCCTCTTTTCTTAAACCCCACGCTCTCTTCTTCCTAAAATAATTTGGAGGATGGTTGGTACATAATGTAACCACTGGAAAGTGATGGTTGAGATGATTGAGGGATTTGTGGTGAGGGACTGGCAGTGGTGGCTTCCTGGAGTGTGGGGCAGGAGGTGGGATGGTGGTGACCTCTTTAGTCCTATTACTTCCTGGTTTGGGGGCAGAAAACATCTCACCAAAAGCAGCAGCAG